AACACAATCAAATATATGTTAAAAACATAAATTTTTTTGGCCTAATAATTATAAATGTTAGATTATTTTAAAATTTTATATACTTAATTCATATCAATAAAATATTAAATATTATTAAATATAACCATTAGTTTTTCAAATATTTATTAGAAGCTAATATTTTGGAAATTGAAAGATTAACTTTGCTATAAAATATATACACTATTCCTTTTAAAAATTCTTCCTCAGTCTAACTTTAATAAGTCTAAGTTTTTTTCATAAAATAATATTATACTAATAACTAATTCATAAAATTTCATATTTACTCTAATTAATCACCACTTATTTAAAAGTTTTTTAAAAATAATAATAAAGAAGGCCAAAATTTATAAACTATATTATTTAAAATATTTAAAAATATTATTTAAATATTAAAAAATAAATTTTATATTATTTAATAATTAATTCTTTTTATTTTCTTAATCTAAAAAAAAAAAAAAGTATAAACCACGATATTGTTCACGCATTTTCATCCTCCTTTCATTACTCCTTCCGGAGTAACAAAAACGACACGCACCCGTACAGATAAATAGAGGAACTCGGATCTCTGTTCTCACAAAGGCACACACAAGAGAGGCACACCTTAGCTGTTTCTCTTCCTTTCTCCACTCCAGGTAAATCTTTATTTTCTCGATCCAAAGCTTTCATGACTCTAGCTGTTTAAACCTCTTATTTTGATTTTTCTCCCCAAAGAACTTGGGCGTTAGTATCACGATCTGTAGCCTCCTGATTTTTGTCTTTATCTTCTCCTCCGGAAGTTTTCATTCCTGTTTTTTTTTTTCCGTATTTAAGATTGATCACCGACAGTTCAAAGATCTTATGATCTCTTCTAATTTCCATAATTTTGCTTCGATTTGGTTGTTTGATCTTAATCCTCTAGTTATTATATATAGTGCCGAGTAATCTGCTCTTTGAAAATTGTTGTCACTTTGAATTTGTTCTTTATTTGGGAAATATATGATTTTGTTCTATTAAATATTTGAAGACAGAAAGATTATATATATATAGAAAATAAGAAAAAAAATTTTATTTCACCAATTTGGATATCCTGATTGTCATGTAGGATTTTGAGACAAGATTGTGGGCCAATTTTCTGTTTCTATTTTCCTGTGTAGATCTACTTATGTAGATCGAAAAAATTTACATATATTTTTTTTTCCTTTGAAGGAAAGAAAAGGAAAAAACTTTAGGTCAACTTCATATTGTTTTTCTAATTTTATTGTTTTAGTGGAGGACTGGACTTTAGATAAATTCAGTTAATGATTGTGTAAACCCTCGTTTTACACTCTTTATATATCGATACTTGTTGTTGCATTTTATTCATTTTAATGCATCATTTGGAACTTTTTTTTTTTTTTTTTGGGCTGAAAGAGATTGAATGAAACAGGTTTGGCCCTTCCTGTTCTGTTTGAAAGTCTCATGCTATAATTGGGAATTTCTTTAGATTTATGCACGCTATAAACTTTGATTTCTTTTTTTCTTTTTTTTGGGTATGTAGAGACTAGCGATTTAACCTTAGACCTATGGCTGTACCACCCGATAACGCAGCTGATGGTTTAAGAACTTTGATTT